GGGGGGGGTGATTTCTCGCTTTCTATCTCTCTGTCTCTCTCTGTCTGGCTGGCAAGCACACGCTCCCTATAGCAAAAACCTCTCCAAAACAACAACAACAAAAAAGTAATAAAAAAAACTATTTCTTTCATGAATGGAGAGACAGAGAGACTGACCCCAACGGAGTCCCGATACTGTGATCCGCCGTCAGCCCCAGGCAGGCCTCGATCACGGGCAGGTGTGTGCCGGCGTTGGGATCACCCTTACACAGTGCTCACCGCTGCTCCACCTGCTGTGCCCCGGGGGCCAACATTATTGCCCTCAGAGGACACTTGCCCAGGCCGACGCTGCTGGCGATGTTGGAAGACAAGGGAATTAAGAGCAGCTGAGGCTGACTGAGAAGGGCGAGATGCCCAGGCTGGTTCTTCACCCAACGCGCAAACCGAGACACGGCTGGATGAGTGATCTGAAGGACTCTGGAATAGATCCAGCCCAGCCTGTTCATCCAACAGGTGTGAAGCTGAGGCCCAGTGAGTGGTGACACAGAGAGTTAGTTGCAGAGGGAACTGGAAAACGAGTCTCCCGGGGTCCAGTCGGGTGCTCCTCCCACTCTGCCGGGTCACTTCTTCCCGCCTTTGGAGGGTAATTCTTCTTCTTAAAATTTGATTGCTCCTCTGTTAAAATATGGCTTCCTCCAGAGACAGTCTGCTCTAGCGAGGATCTTTCCAGCCATGCACACGTTGAATTCTGATATCCCCTCTCGTCTACACCCCAAGCTGGGCGGAAATAGGCCTTGGCATACTGAGTGGTGTGGTGGTGAGTTTAGGGTGTGGGTGAGCAGTGAGGAATATGAAAGAGGGAGAAGACAGCCTGGGGCCTTGCAGGAAAACCAGACCTTCAAAGGGGAGTGGGTCTAAGAGGTACAGGACCAAAGGGACATTAAGAGTCCAAAGACAATTTGTTTGTTTTTTCTGTTTTGCTATAGGGCACGTGCATTCGCCGCACACAAGAGAAAGAATGAGAGAATGAAAGTGAGAAATCACCCCCCTTCTTCCCCCCCAGAATGGATGGCCATGTTGTAATCCCTTCTCTTTCAATTTCCTCGCACGATTTTGGCCATACATGCACATTGGCCCAGCTCGCTTTCCAAGCTGCCGGGTCTGAGACACATGAACATGCACATGGCCGTGTGGGACACAGACACCTTAACCACCGTGCCACTGAGTGGCCCCCAGAGATGCACTTTTAAAATAAAATTCAGGTTTCTGCAACCAGCAGATGGTGTAATGCTTACGTTGCTGGATTCTCACGTGGTCGACTGCAGTTCAAGTCCCAGACCCAGTGACTTGAGACTCACACCAGGTGCCTGTGCATCCATGCCTAAAATCCTGAGAGGGGGGATAGAGGAGAAGGGGTTGTGGTGTGGCCATCCTCGCTGGGGAGTGATTTCTCGCTTTCTGTCTCTCTCTGTCTCTCTGGTGAGTGCATATACCGTTTAGCAAAAATCTCTCCAAAAAAGTCAGGTTTTTTAAGCTACTGTTTACATACAATTTACATATTCACCTTTTCAGTGATACTTATTATTATTATTATTATTATTGTTAAAGAGATTTTGCTCTGGTATGCACTCACTGGAGAAACAGAAAGTGAGAATCACCTCCCTGGAGGGATGGCCATGTCGCAATCCCTTCTCCGTTCTCCTCTCGGGATCTTGGACACGCATGTATACACACCTGGCGTGAGTTTTAAGCTGCTGGGTCTGGGACTCGAACTTCAGTTGACTCTGTGGGAGTCCAGCAACGTTACATCGACTGCTGGTCCCAAGATACCTTTACTTTTTAATTCTCTTTTCCTGAGAGCCAGTCTTACCCAGGGATTGCCTCATGCAGAGAAGTTTCGAAATCATGAGTTATTAAGCTGTAGCAAACACCACCTTGGGCAAGTTGCTGTCACTTTATGGACCTCTTTTTCTTAAAGAATTTTTCATTTAATTTATTATTATTATTTTAAAGACTTATTTTATTTACCTTTATTATTATTATTATTTAAATTTGACCAGAGAGGGACAGAGTGAGAAAGACAGAGGGACAGTGAGAAAGCAAGCCGCCAGGTCCATGACTCGAACTGTGGTTGGCCATGTGGGAGTCTAGCGCCCTTAACCACCATGCCACCTGCCGGCCCATTGATTATTATTATCTTTTAAAATTTGTTATAGGGCATGCACACTCACCAGAGAGAGAGGGGGAGAGAAAAAGTGAGAAAGCAAGCCTCCAGGTCCAAAATTTGAACCACATTCAGCC